TATGAGCTCAGCACTGGGGACACCTACTATGTGCTCAGTACTGGGGACACAGCGCCACAAAGAAAAGTAAGACTAACAAGGCTGCTCAAGTAATTCTAGAAAGAGATAGTGCCCACATCTTAGAAATGTGATGTGTATAGGTAGGTAGGTAAATAGGTAGGTCGGTTGTTGTTTTTTGTTAAGTGTTGTGGAGTAGATTCCGACTCATAGTGACCTGGTGAGTATTTCCAAGGAGTTAGTGGATTTGAGCTGCCAACCCAATGGGTAGCACTCAAGTGCTTATTCTATAGTGCCACACCAGGAATCTGATAGGTAGGTAGGTAGGTGGGTGGGTAGATAGATAGATAGATAGATAGATAGATAGATAGAACATAGAGATAGAGAGATGACAGATAGAACATAGAGACAGATGGTAAGTAGATGGATAGATGAATTGATAGAGGGATGGATGATAAATAATTGAATAAATGGATGGATGGATAGATAGATACATATATAGATGTTAAATAGATAGATACGTAGATAGATAGATGATATAGATGATAGATGATGGATGGATGACAGATGGATGATAGATAGATAGATAGATGATATAGATGATACATAGATGATGATGGATGGCAGACGGATGATAGATAGATAGATAGATAGATAGATAGATAGATAGATAGATGATGGATAGATGGATAGATAGATGATAGATATAGAAATAATGAGAAAAGATAGATGACAGATAGAACATAGAGACAGATGGTAAGTAGATGGATAGATGGATTGATAGAGGGATGCATGATAGATAATTGAATAAATGGATGGATGGATAGATAGGTATATAGATATTAAATAGATAGATAGATAGATAGATAGATAGATAGATAGATAGATAGATACATACATACATACATACATACATACATACATACATACATAGATGATATAGATGATAGATAGATGATAGATGGATGATGATGGATAGATGGATAGATAGATGATAGATATAGAAATAATGAGAAAAGATAGATGACAGAACATAGAGACAGATGGTAAGTAGATGGATAGATGGATTGATAGAGGGATGGATGATAGATAATTGAATAAATGGATGGCTGGATAGATAGATAGGTATATAGATGTTAGATAGATAGATAGATGTTCTTACTTTCTGCTAGTGTCTAACCTGGCTCTTGGTGACCCCAGATGTGCAGAGTAGATCTGCTCCATGGGGTTTTCAAGGCTGGGACCTTTTGGAAGAAGATCACAGGTGTGTCTCCCAAGGCATCTTGAGGTGGGTTCAAACAATCAATCTTTTCGCTCATAGTTGAGCACTTAACCATATGTGCCACCAGGGATTTTTGATAGACAGAGAATCAATGAATAGATAAGAATTCCCTATGCATTTTCCCTTTTGTGCTTATAAACAATTTGGAAAGTATATGAAAAACAAATATACATTTTCTTAATGCACCAACCAATGTGACCAAAAAAGCCTCTTAAACAAGCAAAGCTTTTGTTACTGAGTCCATTCCAACTCACAGTGACCCTACAGGACACAGCAGAAGTTGCCAAGGGTGTAGATGCTTATGCAGCAGACTGGTGAGTTTGAACTGCTGGCCTTCCAGTTGTTGTTGGTGTTAAGTGCCGCCAAGTCAGTTCCGACCCATAGCCACCCTGTACAGGGTTTCCGAAGCTATAAATCTTTAGGGGAGCAGAAAGCCTCATCTTCCTCCTGCAGAGCAGCTGGTAGTTTCAAACTGCTGACCTTAAGGTTTGCAGCCCAATTTGTAACCACTATGCTACCAGAGCTCATTAGTGGTCCCATATTTTAACCATTGTGCCCCTGGGGATCCGTAACCAATGACAACTCTTAGTAATCCTATAGCTGCCTTTACATCTTCATTCCCTCAAAGTTCTTTCCTTTTCTTGTGCTCTCTCTGTCCTCCTTGCATTTTCCTTCTTTGTTTTTATGTCTTTTCCTCTGGAAATGCATGTCTGTACCACAGAGCCACACAACCTGTGTGTCTACATGGTGCCACACGTGCACACTCAGGAGTGTTCACGTATGATACGTATGATAGGTTAGGGTTAGCCATACATACACACTCCTGTGTGTGTCATCCTCACCTGACACGACTCCTACCATCTCCCACCTTCCCTGAAACCACAGGAACCATGATTCGGGGGAAGCTCATCCCCAAACAATTTCTCTTACGTTTGTGTTCATATGTGATGTCGGCTATGTGCTGGAGTTTTGTAATGTGTATAAACAATGTTGTTTGTCTCTATGCCTATGTTTTTTAAGTGAAATTTCTGTGCTTATGTTTTAGTCCTTCTTTGAGCTCTTTCCTAACACTTTATTTACATTTTATTCTGCCTTCTTCAGTGCTGAACATTTAGACAGTCTACAGAGCCTTCCCATAAAAATCAGAACCGCCTAAGGCATAGAGCAGGAGGGATTGGGACCAACACTGTCCTTCAGCTTTGAGATGTAGAGTGGGTGGCCTGGTCCTTTGGGGTGTAAGTTCTTACGTTGATGGCAAGAGCTTGTTTAACCTTCTCCTAGCTTCAAATTTCCCTGAAAGGGGCAGAATGCTGTTACATTTCCAAGCAGATATGAGAATCCCATTTCTTAAACCCTCTGCTGCACATCGCTGTGTCTGTGGGTTGCCGTGCCAACCTTCCTTCCATAGAACAACCACAGCACAACATTGCCTGGTTCCGGGCACCACCTTCAGGGCCACTGATGTGTCTGTTGTTGCAGTGATTGACCCATGGAGATGGTCATGTTTCAATATGTTGTTTTATCAACCCGGTGGGCATGCAGTGGTAGTTTATGGTGGTTTTCTTTAGTCTGGGAGAGGATGGATCCAAGAGAGCTCACCAGCGAGGTGGGAATTGCAAAGTAAGCATCAGGTGACCCACGGGCATCTAGGCCTCCAAACAGTGGTGTTTGTCCCAGAACTGTGGGGAGAGCAGGAGGAGACCCACATCCATGGTGTGTGCCCAGTGTTTGTAGATGCAGAGCTTTCTGGGGGCCCAACAGAGTTTCTGCTTGTTTCCTGCCTCTTTATCCCTTGAGCCTCCGGATCCTGGAGAATGGGGTTTGCTGGGTGAGAAGTCATCACTCACGAGGCCCCTGAGGGCCCAGCTCTTGGCCCCATAGCCTAATCTATTCCATTAAAAACCAATCCAGCACTGCTACCATCCAGCCCATTCCAAGTCATGTTGTTGTTAAGTGCCATCAAGTCGATTCTGACTCAATGATCCTGTATAGCGTTTCTGAGGAGCAGTTGGTGGGTTTGAACTGCCAACCTTGTGACTCGCTGTTCCTACAGCACCACACCTGGTGTGGAGCTGTGGGTTAATGGGCCAGACTACAAAGCCGTTTAAACTGCAAGGTCGGTGGTTCAAGCTCACCAGCCGCTCCTCGGAAACCCTATACAGGGTCGCAATGGGTTGGGATTGACTCAACGGCACTTAACAACAACAACAACAACAATGCCACACCAAGACTCCATTCTGACTCACAGTGATCCTATAGGACAGACTAGAATGACTTCACATTGTTCCTGAGGCTGCCATCACTGTAAGCAGACGGTCGCATCTTTCTTCCTTGGAATGGCAGGTGGATTCAAACTGCCAATCTTTATGTTAGCAGCCCAGTGCCTGACCCGCTGTGCTACCAGGGCTCCCTCCCTTACCTGGTTCACCTGGTTCTGGCAGAGCACACCTAGAGCCCATCCCTTCACCTCAGTCTCCCTGGCTACCATCGCCACGTCCTGGGTGTTTACTAGTTCTGATTTGCTGTTCTTATTCTGACCTGTCCCAAAGCCCCGATTCAGTACTTTAACTCAGGAGGCCTCACAGAAAGACAAGTACACTGGGGGGATCACACCAGAAAGGGGAGGACTGGATGCTGTTTTCCTTCCTTGTGGGTTGGGCCCAGTCCCCTCACAGATTCTGAACAACGAACACCCCCATAATCACAGTCCACAGCAGAAGGGCACCTATGGGGTTGTCTGTTCCCATAAAGCGGACTGTCTGAGAAACATGCTACAGGGTGGCTGTGAGTGGGAATTGCCTCTGTGGTAGTTGAGGCAGGGGATGTGTTCTTCAGAGTCCCAATGATGCAAATGGTCAGCACGCTCTGCTGTTCATCTTAAGGCTGGTGGTTCAAATCCACCCAGATGTGCCTCAAAAGAAAGGCTTGGCAATTTGCTTCCCAGAAATTAGCCACGATAATGCCGTGGGGCACAGGCTACCCTGACACACTCAGCATCACCACGGGTCAGAACTGACTTGATGGCAGCTGCTTCCTCAGTTTATTCTTTCAACACGCTATGCCCAGAAAGTCCTGTAGGGCACTGTAGGATAAGCACTGGACCACAAGGTCAGTTTGAACCAGAAGACCTGCAGTTCAAATCCACCAGCCGCTCCTCACTATGAGTTGTAACCGACTTGATGGCACTTCACAACAACAACAACACGTCCAAGTAGATACCATGTTGTTGTTGTTAAGTGCCATCGAGTCGGTTCCGACCCATAGCGACCCTGTACAGGGTTTCCGAGGGTGTAAATCTTTACGGGAGTAGAAAGCCTCATCTTTCTCCCACGGAGCGGCTGGTAGTTTCGAACCGCTGACCTTAAGGTTCGCAGCCCGATTCGTAACCACTACGCTACCAGAGCTCCTTTTAAGTAGATACCATATGGTCATTCATTTCACCCGCCTGGCAGCCCTGGGAGGTCATGGAGACTGATTGTTCTCATGTCGCTGAATAGTAGAATCAGTGGGAATATCATGAAGTTCCGTGCTTACTGTGAGGCTGACCACTGAGTCCTGCCCTAACTCCTACCTGTGGACACCTGTGTGGACCCCTCTTCCCTCCTTTGTCTGATTAACTGAGTTACTGCTGGTGGTACCGGAACAACGGGGAATCCCAGAGCTTGTGGCTTTCCCCTGAGGAAGAGGAGGAAGAGGTGGCTGGGGGAACGGGTGGCTCTGGCAGTTGGAAATGGTCACTCACTGCTCCCAGACTTTCTGTCCTCACTTTGGGGTACCTCTGCCAAGTCACCAGACTTGCTGTGTCCTGTCTCCCATCCCTCTGCCCCCTCCTTCTCTGTCACTGTCTCCATGGCCCTGCCAAATGGACCAGCTGCATTGGGTGCTTGTCTGCTAATGAGGAACCCAGAACTGTCTCTTTGGAACCAGCACTGTTTAAAATCATGATTCTCCATTTTCTTCTGTGTCTGACCTGCTGTCTCCACAGGAAGTCAAACAGGCGGGTGAACAGAATGGTCATTCTGTCTGCTGAGAAGTCAGTGGGCTGAGAGGTTAGATTTAGAGGGCTGTTTCATGAAACCAAGAGGCTCACTCCAAGCTGGCTGGCTGCCTTGTCTGTCTGTTTGGCTGACGGACCTCTTGGGTGGGAGATGGGCCAGGGAAGGATGTGGAGATGGTGCAAGGCCAGGGACACACAAGAAGTCAGTATTTCATGAAAGAAGTGTCCCTGCACCCACTGATTCAAAACGTGCGTTGTGTGATATATAGTCATTTGTTCTTTTATCCCACCCTATGAAGGGAGTTCAAAATGTTCCTGGAAAAAATTAAATTAATAGACAATAGAATTTCCACACATTTTTTGAAGTCCCTGGTAGCACTGGAGAGGAATTTAAATAAACTTAGTGCCCTACAAGGCAACACCAGGAAGGTAGCCTTAGATACCTTAGACAGGAGATCCAAAGGGTAGCATTTGCCCAAGTCTATGGTACACAATAAGGAGCTCTGGTATCATAGTGGTTACGAATCGGGCTGCGAACCTTAAGGTCAGCAGTTCGAAACCACCAGCCACTCTGCGGGAGAAAGATGAGGCTTTCTACTCCCGTAAAGATTTACACCCTTGGAAACCCTGTACAGGGTCACTATGGGTCGGAACTGACTCGATGGCACTTAACAACAACAACAACAATGGTAGAGAATACTGAAAGTGTCACGGACTGCCAAAAGAACCAATAGATCTGTTTTGGAAGTGGTGCAGCCAGAGTGCTCCTTGGAGGCCAGGATGGCTAAGCTTCGTCTTTCATACTTTGGACATATTGTCCAGAGGAAACAGTCGCTAGAGAAGGATGTCATGCTGGGTAAGATGGAGAGCCAGAGAAAGAGAAGAAGACCCCCAACGAGATGGATCAGCCAGGTGGCATCATTGATGGTGTCAAGTGTGGCAGCGGTAGTGAGGTTGGCCCAGGATCGGACATTATTTCGTTCTGCTGTGCATGGGGTCGCTATGAGTCGGTTCCAACTCGATGGCACCTGACAACAACAACAACAATGGTAGCGTAGTGGTTACGAATTGGGCTCCTAGCCGCAAGGTTGGCAGTTCAAAACTACCAGCGGTTCCCCGGGAGAAAGATGAGGCGATCTGCTCCCGTAAAGATTTACAGCCTCGGAAACCCAGTACTGGGTCACTATGAGTCGGAACCGACTCCATGGTACTTAACCACAACAACAATGCTGAAGGCAGAGTAGCAGAGAAGGAGGAAGGGAAACTGGAAACACGGGGAGGAAGACGGAAGAGTGTTGTTACTTGCTGGGGACTGCAACCAGTATCACAAAACAACATGTGTTTGAACGGTTGAATGGAAAATCCATTTTCTCTGTAAAGTGTCACCCAGATCATAAGAAAAAGTTAAAAAGAAGTAAATTAAATCAATAAATAAAAGCAGTGACAGAGAAACTGGAGAGAGCAGGGTGTTTTGTGCATGTTAGGAGCTCAGGGCTGCGGTTCAAAACATCCACTTTGATGTGTGTCAGTAGCATGCCCCCCCCCCCCCCCTTGCTGGTAGAAGGAGGTGCTAGTGGATATTTCTTTAAACCCACAACCCTAACCCCACTGCATGGAGTCAATTCCGATTCATAGCCATCTTGTAGGCTGGAGCAGAGTTGGTTTCAGAGGCTGCAAACCTTTATGGAAGCCGAGTTTCATCTTTTTTCCTGAAGAGTAACTGGCTGGTGGGTTTGAACTGTTGACCTTTCAGTTAGCAGCCCAACTGTTAACCCTGTGCATCACCAGGGCTCCTTGGATGAGGCTCTCCACGATATCCACTGCTGTCACTTCCATTTTGACTCATACAGTCCTGCAGGGCAGAGTCGAACTGCTCCACAGGCTTCCCGAGGCGCCAGTCTTTACAGGAGCAGTGAGCCTCATGCTCTGGGATGATGCTCAAGCTCCTCAGAAGCTCAGCGTTGGGGCTCAAGGAAGGCAATGAGCATAGGGTTAGACCAGGAGGAGCCCCAATAGGAAGTGGACTGGATTTGCTTTCAGACAAGCGCTGCCCCGAACTTCCAGTCCCCAGGTCCCTAAAAGTCACCCTGTGTTCTTGCTTCCCTTTCCAGTTTGACCTTCAGTGGATTGTTATTTACTGTGACTCTCGGCATGCTGAGCTGGAGACCTGCTGTGACATCCCTTCTGGTCCGGTGAGCAAGGACTCTTCATGGGAATGGGGACAGGGAGTGGGTGTGTGGGCTTCAAGGTAGGCAGCTGTCAGGGCTTAAGAATGTGGGGTCCAGGCCACCAGAATCTGCTCTGAGCATCTCCAGGCCTCCAACCTCCTGATCACACAGGGGTTTCCCCGTGAGTCAATGAGACCAGCTCTGAGATCCCTGGAGGCAGAGAGATGTACTCAAAGTAGGGAAGGGAGTGAGAGAGTACTCCGGGCTGGTCAGGACATGGAGTTTACCTCCTTGCAGGCTTCTGCTTCTCCTTGTCCTCAGCACCCACTTCCTTTCTTTCAATCATCCAACTCTCTCAATCTTCTTGATCAAGTCCTAGCTCATGTGTGTACTTGAAGCATGGAGGCAGTGATGGAGCCTGCTTCGTCCAGTTGAAGGACTTCATCCATGTAAGGCACTTGGTATTTACTGCACACAGTAAATACTCCATGCATGTGCTCTGAGATCATGGCTGTCCTGCCACGTGGCACCTACCAGGTGGTAGTCATGGCTCCTTTCTGCCCATGTGCACCCCTTGCTGAAGAGCACTTTCTGGGGTGCAGCCAGATTCTGACTCTCTGCCCTTTCCTTCCAGTGCCAGGTGACCATTGTCACGGAGCCTCCACCCCAACCCCAGCAGCCTCCCACCTCTAGCAATGAACAGATAGGATTTTTGAAGACTATTAACTGTTCCTGCCCAGCTGGAGAGAAGGTACTTCCTGAACTCTACCCTAGGCTCCCAGCCCACAGTCCTAGAGCTGAGCAGAATGGGACTGTCTGCTCAGCAGGATCACATCTCCTGATTCTGCACTGATGGTGGGATTTTCCCATCATGCACCTGGCGTCCCAGGCAGAATGGCACCAAGTTCTCAATGGCTTCCAGGTCAGAGTTCCGTTCTTGCTCTTGTTAGTTGACTTGTATGCACTTGAGGAGGGAACAGCCTCCGCTCTGATTTTCATCAATATTTTCCTCAAGTTAGTAGTGTTCCTGCACCAGGTTTTCCTGGCTCCTACCTGTATTGTTGTTACTCAGGTGTAGCTAAGTCAACCTGGATTTGGGCAGAGCGTAACACTCCACACAGGGCAGTGAGCGACAAGATCTGAGGAACACACTCTCACCAGACTCTTCTCTATGTTTCACTTAATTAGTTGCCTTCTCCAGCTGTATCTGAGGAGAGCTTTATGCATTCTGTCATTTAAACAGGTGGCATATTTCTATGCATACACCACTACCACCTGTCAACTTAGATTAAATTCCTCATTGTGTGCCTGCAGCCTTCATTTGTTTTCTGTCGGCAGACCAGAGGCTCTTGATAGGAAAAAAGAAATGTTCCCCACTATTTGAGCCAAAGGAACATAAACATATATATATAAGGGTGACAGAAGTGGAATTGTGCTGGGGGAAGAAGGGCCCATGAAATTCTGGTGGACTGACGGGCCCTGTTATTGGTTGAATTGTAGCCCCCACTAAAAAAACCATATATGCTGATGTTCTAACCCCAAGCACCTGTGAAGTGACCTGGCTTGGGAAGGGGATTGATGCTGTTAAGTGCCATCAAATTCGGTTTTGACTCATAGTGCCCTCATATAGGGTTTCTGAGGAGCAGCTAGTGAGCTTGAATCACTGACCTTGCAGTTCAAACCGACCTTGCAGTCCAGCACACTAACCTGCAGTGCCACACCAGGACTCCATGGAGAGAGCCTGTGGGTTTGGAAATAAAGTTGTTGAAGGTTTATTAGTTAACGTAGTGTGAGGTCATATTGGAGAAGGGTGAGTCCTAACCCAATACAACTAGCATCCTTCGAGAAAAGAGCAGAAAAGATACAGAGAGACACAATGGAGAGACCACTGTGTGAAGATGGAGGTAGAGATTGGTATCATCTAGAAACCAAAGTGCCAATATTTGCCAGGAGCCAGCAGAAGCTGAAAGAGGCAAGAACGGACCTTCCTGCAGAGTCTTCAGAGGGACTATGATCCTGCTGACCCCTTAACTTCAAACTTCTGGTCTCTAGAGCTATGAGCAGATACATCCTGTCGTCCAAAGTCCCCAGACACACATGTGTGTGGTATTTTGCAGTGGTAGCACCAGGATGATCATGTAGCCCGAAGTCCCCTGATCTACAGCAGGGGGCTGTATCCATTGCTGTATCTGTACCTCCTAGTTCCATGGCAGCAGTGTGGACAAGGGACTGCTTGGGGACACCCAGTCAGAACCACGAAATGATGGCTGGAATCAATGAGGGATACTCCCTTTAAGAGGGCACTCAGCAACAGCAACCGCGGTGACTGAACATTGGACTCAGAGTCTACAAAAGAATTCTGATAAAAAAGGAGGAAAATGCAGAACAGGATTTCAAAGTTTCATGGAATCCAGATTTTTGGAACCCTGGAGGCTGGATGAACCATGAACACTCATACCCTGAGATAATCTTTCAACCCCAAACCAAAGCGCTCCACTGAGGTCTTCTTAAAAACAAATAATCATTTAGTTTCACTAGGGAACAGTGCCTGCCTTGAGCACTGTAGTCTTTCAAGACCGCCTTCTGTGGGATCACACTGACAACAGCCACTGGAAAGACTGAACAGGAACCTCAGGAGGCTATGAATGTGTGTTCACAGAGGAAGAACTCAGAAAACAAAGGTGACAGTGATTGCACAAATCAAAGAATGTCATCCGGTCACTAAATTGTCATGTAGAAATGGTTGCATTGGTGTATGTTTTCCTGGGTGTATTTTCAACATCAACAAAAATAAATAAGATTTAAAGAAAAAGAATTTCAACATTTGGCAGACAGACTGTTTGACCCTCTTCCATTTTCTCTCTTCTCCATTCTCCTCCACCCCTTCCTTTTTTTCCCCCCTCTTCCTCTCAGAGATTCAGATCCTGGGGAGATAGCTCTCAGTCCAGAGATTGCCCAACCCTGATCATCCTGATGGAAGGTCACACTAAGGGTGGGCCCAGGTGCTCCTTTCCCTGAGTTGGTCAGCTGAGGCTGTGACTGGGCAGTCTGTGACTTCTGCCCGGCTGGTGCTGCAGGAATGGGAGGGTGCATGGTGGAAGGACCCAGGCTGGGCAGGGGCTCCCGCTCCAGCCTCCCCTTAAGCTTCTGGCCAGCCACAGTCAATCCTGTGGTTCAATTCTTACATGTGAATAAAATCCCCCAAGCAGCGGTCTAACCCCAATCCCTTTGGATCCTTGTTTTCCATTCAGAACCCCAAATAAGAGATAGAATGGCATTGTAGGGTTGCACATGGGCCAAAACAGGCTCCATCCAGTCTCAAATTTTTCCTCCCAGCCAAGCCCATGCCCTGGTGATGTCCAGGCCCATGTGGTCCCTGGCAGGGAGCCCCAGGAGGTAAACCTGAGGCTTCCAGCCACCCTACTGTAGTGGTCTTTTCATTCCAGCTCACAAATACCTCTGGTCTTCACTGACCTCCTCTACATGACTTCTGGGCACCCCCTCTCCCTACTATTTCCAGACCTACCAGACCCATGACAGTCCCTCAGTGCCTATACTGCCCCATCTCACTCTGCTTCCCCCTTCTAGGAGGGGAGGAGGGAGCCTGCTGTCTCTGGGGTTCTGGTTTTCAGAGAGAGCATCTTCTGTCAGGAATGCCTTTCTTTCCCCACCTCCTTTCCCTTGTCTGCTGGCTCTTCACTCCAGACCTCTCTGAGGATGCACCGGAACACAGTGCTGTCACTGTGATTTCCCTGCTCTTTTGCTTCCTCCCTCCCTGCTTCTCTCCATTATTCATTGTCCACCCATTCGATAATGATGTAGTCAGCACCTGCAGTCTTCTTTTTTCACATCTGCAATTTTCAAGATAATCTGACCTTTTTGTCTCCCCCAAATCTGTGCTTCCATCAATCATAACATTATCATGAGGGAACTAAACTTTTCTATTTGAAGTCCTTTCTGTGAGACCCTGAGTTTCCAGATGGCAGAGATGAGATTTTTTACCGTTTTGCATTTTCATCTACTAATACATAGCCTGGTACAGAAAAAGCTATTAAATCATGGTGGACTTAATGGATAATTGGGCCGGGTCTTGAGGAGATGGGTGGGTGGATGGGCAGATGAATGGGGGTATGGATGGTGAATGGGTAAGTGGATGAGTAGGCAGATGGGAGAGAGGGATTTAAAAACCAGCAACATGCCTATCTTCTCTCTAGGAGAACAAGGTTCCATTGTTTGGGATGATCAGTCAGTACATGAGTTCCCAGCCCCACACTCTGAGTGGCATCGCCTAACAATTTATCCCTTTATATGCTCAATCATTGTTTGTTTATACATAGAACACTATGTATAGAACGGAGTCCTGGTGTGGTGCTGTGGGATATTGCACTGGACCGCAAGGCCAGTTTGAACTGCAAGGTACATGGTTCAAATTCACCAGCTGCTCCTTGGAAACTCTGCACAGGGTCTCTATGAGTCGGAATCAACTCCATGGCACTTAACTACAACAGCAATGTATAGAACACTATACTGCACGCTGAGATTCCAAGGCAAGTAGAACCCAACCCTGGCCTTCATCAAGTCCAGAGTCTACTATCTGAGTGGGGAAACCCAGGGGCTGAGACCAGGAAGTGTGCCTTCAGTCTTCCTCCAGAACTTTCCCAGCTCAGCTGGATGGCAGGACGACTCTGCTTCTTTCCTCCCACAAGCAAGGCCACATGGATGAACGTCCACAACATCCTCATGAAATGGGTGTCTATCACCACCTCTTCATCTTCACCTTATAGAAAATGCAGCACAGGGGGCTGGAAGCCCGAGGGCTCTCTTTCAGGAGGCTGGACTCTGGCCATAGGAAGACTCTGCTTTCAGTAACTTAAACCTTCAATTATTCAACTAAATCACATTGATGCTTCATGTCCATGTTTCCATCTCTATAACTCAACATCACATTGAGCATGAACTGCGTATCAAGCCTTCTGAGGGTGCCATGTGAAATTAGAAACAGAAACACTTATTGACTGTCATTTATATGGGCAGATGCCATCTGTGGGTGATTTTTTAAACGATAATGTGCCCAGAGTAGCTGAGTGCATAAGAGGGTAGGTTATTTTGAAGTGGTGGGGTGGGCCCCACAGGTAAATGATGAACTATCACTTTTTTTCATCAATAATGTTGTTGATACACATATAAAACCATAGGAACCATGATGCATTACCTTATAGTATGGGAAGATCTACATGTGCTACAACTCGTAGATCACAGTTCTAAAAACCCAGCAGCAAGCTCTTTTAGGTATTCAAAGCAGGCAGTTTACAAGTCAACAAACATTACATGTAGAAGTAGTCTATAAACGTATCTTTTTTTTGTATTTTGCTCTTCTTGTTGCTCTATGCCGTTCCTACTCATAGCGATCTTGTATAGGGTTTCCAAGGAGAAGCTGATGGATTTGAACTGCCGACCTTATGGCTTGCAGTCCGATGTTGATCCTATAGTGCCACACCAGGAGTGCAACAGTTTTGTATTTTTGTGTTGTTGTTGTCGTTAAGTGCTGTGGAGTCAGCTCCAACTCATGGCAACCATGTATAAGGTTTCTGAGGAATGGCTGGTGAGCTTGAACTGCTGACCTTGCCGTTCAACCCAACCTTGCAGTCCAACGCATTAACCCACAGTGCCAAGTGATAACATATCCAGGCAAAAGCAGATCATGAATTCTACTCTGTGTTTGTTTCTCTTTCATCCACCGAATGCTGTATTTGGAGGGTTTGTCAAAGCTCCTGGTGGTGGTTTCTACATGGAGAGCAGGGGGCGCTTGGCTCCCACCCGCCATTTCTCTGATCCAGCTCGGTACTTGACTTTTTCAGAGACCAGCTTATGGACTCGGTGGGTAGACAACAAGCAAGTGAGCTGAGGCGGGGAAATTTAAGATAGTGCCTTACCTATTCCTATTTGTCTTTCTTCCTTTAGGGTGAAAAGGGATTAGATGGCCCTGTGGGACTCCCCGGTCCAAAGGTCAGTACTGGTGCTGGTGGAGTTGCATTGTAGACTCATGATTCAATGTTTGTTTTTGCAATCTGAGTCCATAATCAAAAACAAAAAGGAAAGAGAAACACTGGTACTGCATGCTGCTGTACCAGTATTCTGCCCCTGTGTTTACCAGGTCTTTGACATTGGAAGGTAGGTACAAGAGGCATGAAGTTCTAAATCCTTGCGTCTCTTAACTGTTCAGAGGTCCAGTCCCAGTCTGGAAATAGGAGCTCAGAAGGGTTGATCTAGGTGAGCCCTGCTCAGTTCTCCTTTGTGCCACAGGCTAACTCTCTACCGTCCATGAATTCTGCACCCACCTCTTTAGGCTACTTTCAGGGGTCGGATTATTACAAGTGGTGTAGATTGCATGACATTCCTTTTACACAAACTTTCCAACTTGCTAACCCTGCTGGGGTTCTCCACCCTCAGTCATGGAGGTGCGACACTCCCCATGGGTCCCTGAGTCTGTTCTGTGGTCTTTACTAGGAACCCTGGTGGCATGATGGCTAAGTGCTTGACTGATTATCAAAAAGTTGGTGATCTGAACCCACTTGGAGGCTTCCTGGGAGAAAGACTGGACAGTCCACTACCCCAAGGACTACAGATTAGAAAACTTAAAGGATCATTATACTCTGTCACATGGGATTGCCATGAGTCAAAACCAACTCCACAGCACACAACGATAACATAATCTTCATAGAGCTAGATGGAGCCATCTGCCCTCACCCCTGTTCAAGTCTCAGAAAACTGAGACAAGAGAGGTAATCTGAAGTGCCCACATCAGGTTGTTAAGTGGTCACTAGCTGCTCTGTGGTTTGAGAGAGGGGCCAATGTGGACATGGGGGGAACACAAGACTCTTCCCCTTATCTTTCCTTTTTCTTCTTGTCTTCCCTTTCTCCTGCGTCTGCTACATCGGCCTCTTCTCCTTCCTCTCCTCCTCTCCTGCATTTCTTAGTTTCTCATTCATTCCACCAGAATGATTATCTACCCACTGAGGTCAGTGTTGGGTTTCCAGGATGGTTAAGACATATCCCTGCCCTAAGTCCTCGGAGTCTGGAGGGCCACGCAGAGCAATTGGATTCTATTTCAACTGGAGACTTTCTTGTGGTCCATCCTCTTCCAACGGATTCTAAACACAGTGACTGTGCACCTGTCATGTGCCGGGTTCTGAGCTCTGAAGTTACGTGTTACCTGTGCCATAGAGAGCATGCACAAGTGTAAGGGTCACCTTTGCTTTCCTTATAGTAGACGGTCAGTGTTTGCTGAATGAACACCATCCAATCCGTATACCAGCCCTGCCTGAGAAGCAGCATTTATCCCGTTTCACAGATGAGGAAACCAAAGGCCAAAGATGTTAAGATGAGAATTTCTTTCTCTTTACCTACCTTACTTTATTATTCTTTCCCTTCCTATGCCTCTAGCTCTCTCTTCTCTCTCCTCTCCTTGTTTTCTCCCTCGCTCCTGCCTCTGCTTGTACCTTGTTTATAACCTTCTCCCATTCTCCTCTGCTCTCTTCTGCCCCCACACTGCGAGGATGGGACACAGATACAGCCATTGTCACATACATGTACTCTCATGCACACACATACATACACCTATGTATTTGCATAAACACACTCTCCAACTGCTGGCCTCCTGTCCCTGCTGACTCTCCTCCTTGTACCAATGCAAAGCCACTGGGAGCCATCCAGGGTACCGGAGACCATGGCAAAAAGACAAACAGACATTTCTACCTCACAGAGCTCTCTCTGGGCTATGACCTAACTGCTTCTTTGCTCTCAGACCCAGAAAAGAGCCAAGCAGTCTGGATTTTGTGGGTCTTTAAGTAGGAAGTGTTCCACCACTCATGTGTCAGTTTGTCATACAGTGGTGGCTTGTGAGTTGTTGTGATTCTGGAAACTATGCCACTGGTATTTTAAATACCAGCAGGGCCACCCATGGTTTCAGATGAGCTTCCAGATGAAGACAGACTAAGAAGAAGGAGTGATGAACTACTTCAGAATATTTAGTCACTGAAAACCTTATGAATAGCAGAGAAACACTGTCAGATACAGTGCCAGAAAATGAGCCCCTCAGGTTGGAAGGCATTCAAATTGTGACTGGGGAAGAGCTGCCTCCTCAAAGTAAAGTTGACCATGATGACGTGAATGGAGTAAAGCCTGTGGGAGATAAGCCCACGGGACAACTCAAAATGAAGAGAAACAGCTGTAAACATCCATTGAAAATCGTAACATGTTATGTACGAAGTATGAATCTGGGAAAACTGAAAGTTGTCAAAAATGAAATGTAACACATAAACATTAATATCTTAGGCATTAGTGAGCTGAAGTGGACTGGTATTGGCCATTTTGAATCTGAAAACCACATGGTTTACTATGCTGGAAATGACGAATTGAAGAGGAATGGTGTTGCATTCATTGTCAAAAAGAACATATCCAGATCAGTCATGAGGTACAACGCTTTCTGTGATAGGATAATATCCATGCGCCTACAGGGATGCCTAAGGAGCTTTGGTAGCATAGTGGTTACGAATCGGGCTGCAAACCTTATGGTCAGTATTTCTAAACTCCCAGCTGCTCCACGGGAGAAAGATATGGCTTTCTGCTCCCTTAAAGATTTACAGCCTCGGAAACCCTGTACAGGGTCTCTATGGGTTGGAACTGACTCCACTGCATTTAACAACACCAACAGGGAAGCCTAGTTAATACCACTATTATTCAAATTTATGCACCAGCCACTAAAGCCAGTGAGGACAAAATAGAAGAATTCTACCAATTTCTTCAATCTGAAATGGATCAAACATGTAATCAAGATGTATTGGTCATTATTGGTGATTGGAATGCAAAGTTTGAGAGCAAAGAGGAAAGGAAAAATCAGCAGTTGGAAAATATGGCCTTGGTGATAGAAATGATACTGGAGATCGCATGATAGAATTCTACAAAATCAATGATTTGTTCATTTCAAATACGTTCTTTAGACAGCATACATGATGACTATACACATGGACCTCACCAGATGGAATATATAGAAATCAAATTGACTATACCTGCGGAAAGAGACGATGGAAAAGCTTCATATCATCAGTCAAAACAAGGCCAGGGGCAGACTGTGGAACAGACCATCAATTATTCTTATGCAAATTCAAACTGAAGCTGAAGAAAATGAAGACAAGTCCATGAGAGCCAAGAATGTGAACTTGATTATATCCCACCTGAATTTAGAGATCATCTGAAGAACAGATTTGATACTTTAAACACTAAAGACTGAAAACCAGAAGAGTTGCGGGACGACATCAAGAACATCATACATGAAGAAAGCAAAAAGTCATTAAGAAGACAAGAAAGAAGAAAAAGGTCACAATGGATGTCAAAAGAGACACTAAAACTTGCTCTGCAGCATAGAGTTGCTAAAGCAAATGGAAGAAATGAGGAGGTCCAAGAGCTGAACAGAAAATTTCAGAGATCAGCTAAAGAAGATAAAGCCAAATATTACAACAAAATGTGCAAAGATCTGGAGTCAGAAAATCAAAAAGGAAAAACATATTCAGCATTTCTCAAGCTAGAGGAACTGAAGAAAAAATTTAAGCCTCGAATTTCATTATTGAAGGATTCTCTGGGCAAATTATTGAATGATGCAGAAAGCATCAAAAGAAGATGGAAGGAATACACAGAGTTATTATTTTGTACCAAAAGGAAATGATTCATGTTCAATCATTTCAAGAGGCAGCATATGATCAAAGGCCAATGATACTGAAGGAGGAAGTCCAAGGTGCATTGTAGGAATTGGCAAAGAACAAGGCACCAGGAATTGATGGAATAAAAATTAATATCTTTCAAGAAAGGGACGCGGCACAGGAGGCACTCACTCATCTCTGCCAAGAAATTTGCAGATGACTTTCTGGCCAACTGATTGGAAGAGATCCATATATGTGCCCATTTCAAAGAGAGGTGACCCAACGGGATGCAGAAATCATCGGACAATCTCTTTGATATCCCATGTGAATGATGTTTTACTAAAGGTAATATAGAAATGGTTGCAAGCCTACATTGACAGAGAATTTCCAGAGGTTCAAGCTGGATTCAGAAGAGGCTGTGGAACAAGGGATATCATTGCTGATGTCTGATGGAACTTGGCTGAAAGCAGAGAATATCAGAAAGATGTTTACCTGTGCTTTATTGACTATGCAAAGGCTTTTGATTGTGTGAATCATGACAAGCTATGGGCAACATTGCAAAGTATGAGTATTCTGGAACATTTAATTGTTCTCATGAGGAATCTGTACATGGACCAAGAGGTAGTTGTTCTAACAGAACATGGAAACACGGAATGGTTTTAAATTAAGAAAGATGTGCGACAAGGCTGTATTCTTTCACCATACTTTTTCAGCCTGTATGTTGAGCAAATAATACGAGAAGCTGGGTTCTATGAAGAAAAACATGGCATCAGGATTCGAGGAAGCCTCATTAACAACCTGTGATATGCAGATGATACAACCTTGCTTGCTGAAAGTGAAGAAGACTTAAAACATTTACTGATGAAGATCAAAGAGCACAGCCTTCGGTATGGATTACATCTCAATGTCAAGAAAAAAATTCTCACCACTGGACTAATAAACAACATTCTTATCAATGGAAAAATGATAGAAGTTGTCAAGGACTTCATTTTTGGATCAACTATCAACACTCATGGTTGCAGCAGTCAAGAAATCAAACAACTTATTGCATTAGGCAAATCTGCTGCACAAACCTTTTTAAAATGTTGAAGAGCAAAGATGTCAGCTTGAAGACTAAGGTGTGCCTGACCCAAGCCATGGTATTTTCAATAACCTCATATACATGTGACATCTGGATAGTAAATAAGGAAGACTGCAGAATAATTGATGCATTTGAGTTATGGTGTTGGAGAAGAATATTGAAAGTGCCATGGGCTGCCAGAAGAACCAATACATCTGTTTTGGAAGAAGTGTAGCCAGAGTGCTCCTTGGAGACCAAGATGGCCAAACTTTGTCTCTCATACTTTGGACATATTGTCAGGAGGGACCAGTCGCTTGAGAAGGATGTCATGTTTGATAAGGTGGAGGGTCAGAGAAAAAGAAGAAGACCCCCAATGAGATGGATTGGCCAAGTGGCAGCATCGATGGACTCAAATGTGGCAACAGTAGTGAGGTTGGCCCAGGATCGGGCAGTGGTCCGTTCTGCTGTGCATAAGGTCGCTATGAGTCAGTACCGACTCGATGGCACCTAACAATAACAACAAGTAGGAAGTGTTGGCCTGGAAGGGTAGTTGTTTGGAGGGTGGCTATACTTCTTGCTTTGGTTGAAACTCGGGTGGTATGGGCAGAAGAGCCTGAGCCCAAGAATAGGATGGGGAGAGGCAGATGTGCAAGGAGAGGAATGCTAAGGAGTGGATGTAGCCCCCTGGAAGCACTCCTGGCTGGTTTGCAATCCCACCTGATAGTATGAGCAGCACATGGCCTCAGCCAGCGGCTAACAGGGTGAGTGCACATCTGTGCTCACCAGGATTTTGTTCATCTAAATCCAGCTTGAATTATGCCAACAAGCATCACCTGGTATCACCTGGGACCAGGACCTGTTTTGGTTTGAGGTAACAGAAAAGTAAAAATCTGAGAGCCCTGTCCCTGCCCAGGACTCTTAGCCTAGTTGTTGTTGTTGTTGTTGTTAGGTGCTGTTGAGTCAGCACTGACTGATGGTGACCCCATGCACAACAGAATGAAACCCTGGGCCAGCCTCACAATTGTTGCTGCCGCCAGTCTGCGGATCCATCTCATTGAGGGTCTTCCCCTTTTTCTCCAACCCTCCACTCTACCAAACATGATATCCTTCTCCCAAGACTAGTCATTCCTGATAATATGTCCCAAGCTAAGAGATGAATTCTGGCCATCCTGGCTTCCAGGCCATTGAGAGGCGAGATGAAAGAGGATGGAGCTACTGTGGGTGGCCAGGGCTGTAGGCCCAGAGTAGAGGCCTTCAAACCAACCTTGGGGGGGGGGGGTTGTTTAAGGGCACCTTTCTGAGGGAGATCCCACCCAAGCTAGATCAAGTAGGATACGTAGGAATTGCCCAGGACAAAGAAGACAGGAAAGACATTCCAGGTGAACGGCTACTTTGCCTGTGCTGTTTGCTTTGCTTGCCTGCTTTGCCTCTCACAGGTCCTGTCTATATGAGTGGACTGAGCTCAGGTGGGACCTCTGACAGAAAGGTGCCCCTCAGGCTGACACCACTTGAAAACAATGAAAGGACTGCAGTGGACATGGATGAAATCATCCACTTTAGGGACCAGGAAATGCCTGGCCATGGACAGCAGGTGTGGGGATTCCTGTGTGCAGGTCTAACCTGATGTTTGTTTTTGTTTCCATCACTCAGGGGGACGTGGGGATCCCTGGGCTGCTGGGAGCACCAGGACCTAAGGGAGAGAAAGGAGACTCCGTGAGTAGCTGGCCCCTGTCTGCATGGGGGTGTCATGTGACTGTGCCATGTGACTGCAGTGCATGTCTGGCCCACAGGGCTGCATAACGTGGCCACGGAAACAGTGGTGCAGGTACACCAAGGAGAATTCTGGGAATACTGTAGACAGTGATGTAGCTACACCAAGGAGGAGCCTGGGAATAGTGCAGACAGTGATGTAGCTACACCAAGGAGGAGCCTGGGAATAATGGAGACAGTGGTGCAGGTACATAAGGGAGGAACCTGGGAATAGTGCACACAGTGATGTAGCTACATCAAGGAGGAGCCTGGGAATAATGGAGACAATGGTGCAGGTACATAAGGGAGGAGCCTGGGAATAGTGCAGACAGTGTGAACCTATGTCAGGAAGGAGCCTGGGAATAGTGCAGACAGGGTGAACCTACACCATGGAGGAACCTAGGAATACTGGAGACAGTATGTACCTACGCCATGGAGATGGTGTGTACCAACATCATGGAGGAACCTGGGAATAGTGTAGACAGTGTGTACATACATCATGGAAGAAATTGGGAATAGTGGAGATGGTGTGTACCTACACCATGGAGGAGCCTGGGAATAGTGGAGACAAGGTGTACCTACACCATGATGACTCTTGAAACATATAACTGAAATGATCTGGTCCCTAAAGGCCACATGATATGTAAGTCTGTTCATATGGAATATCCAGAACTGGCAAGTTTACATAGACAGTACGTAGCATGTTGATTCCCACAGGCTGGGTGAGTGGATATGAGAGATGACGTGTAGATTATGGTTGCTCTCTGGCATCATAGAAACTGCCTTGAGTTGACTATGGTGGCGGTGGGCAACTGTGTGGAGATATCAGACATGCACTGAATCGCCCACTTTGAACAGGTGAATGGCATGCTATGTGAAGTGTACCTCAGCAAAACTATTCTGAAACAAGTGCTACCTAGACTGTTGGCTTGTTGGGAAAGTGAGGTGACAGAACCCTCATGACATTCCACACTCAGTCATGACTAGATGTCATCTGTTGGGTTGGGCTCCATAGTGGAGGTCATGGGCAAACATTCCCATCATTTCAAACCCTGGCGTAGACTGGGATGAATGACATCAGGCATGGAAAGGCGTAGTCTGAAATCACTGCATTCTGCTGTATTTGTTTCTTTCTAGGGCAGAGGGCCTTTTGTACAAGGAGAGAAGGGTGAAAAGGTATGTGCACCCAATATTCTACTCTTCCCAGGACTTAGGGGTGGCTGGGCGAGGAGCAGGGAGGCTTGCTTTGGGAAAGGCATGAGTTACCATTGTGCCTCCTGGGAGGAGTTCGAGTGCGTTGGAAGGGGTTCCCTGTGCTGAGTACGAGGCTCTGTGTGTCCCCAGGGGTAGAGCACCAATAATCAAGTTAAGCACCAGCTTATTTGTGCGTACTCACTAACGTGTAATTAAAAATTTCACATTCAAAATATCAAAGATGTGCTGGAACGCATGTGAAACTGTTCACTACAGATTATTAAGTAAGCACAACTAAGTCCATGCATGCCTTGCTTAATGGGTCCTCCATATCTGTCAGTGATAGTAAATTTGTAAACAGGCTTTGATTCTGTAAGAAGATGCTATAGGGAGAGAGACAGATGTCAGTCAGACCTAGAAATAGAATCTTTGGTGGGAAATGTGAAATTGTTTACTACAGATTAGTAAATAAGCACAAGTAAGCCTATGCTTACCTTGATTAGTGAGTAATCCTACATTGTGTGTCTGTCCTATTCCCCATCTTGGGTAGTGGAAGGATACTTTGTGGTCAGCAAGCAGAGAAAAGAAGGAGACAGAAAAGGGTGGATGACCATTGAGAAGCAGGACCATAGGTGCTGGGGGCTTTCAGAGTTGCACCTGAGAAGCTGAGCTTTGGGTGGGGCAGCTCCTTCCAGGTCAGAGTGGGCGGGCCAGAGAGTGTTTGGATGTGGGTGGGTCAGAATAGTGAGAGCAGATGCTACCTGACTTCACCCAGGGGGTGTGACCCTGGACCTGAGGCATTGTTTGTGAGCCACAGTGTTGTTGTTGTTGTTAAGTGCTGTTGAATCAGTTCCAACTCATAGAGACCCTTTATAGGGTTTCCAAGGAGCAACTGGTGGGTTTGAACTGCCAACCTTGTGGTTCCCAGTCCAATGCTGATCCTATAGTGCCACACCAGGAGTCCACAATGGTGGGCATTAAACACTAGGATGTGTCTGACTTTCATGCTGCAGTGGAAGGCTGTGTTGAAGGGTCTGGGTATCCTTAGACTAGTGAGAGTGTTCTTCCTGCAGATGGTTCGAGGAGCAGGTGCCAAATAGAGCTGGAGGGTCAGGGGACTGGGGGAGTTGGGTGGGCAGTCAAGAGATGATCTTAACTTTCCAGCCATCATGAAGATGGTGCGGGGCAGGACAACTCTCTGTTCTTTATGCCGTGAGTCACCATGAATCTGAGCTGACTCAATGGCTCCTAACAATGTGTTTAAAAAACAAAACAAAACAAAAAACCCCACTGACCTTGAGTTAATGCCAACTCATAGAGACCCTGTACAGAGTTTCCAAGGGTGTCAGTCTTTATGGTAGCAGACAGCCTCATTTTTCTCCCTTGGAGTGGCTGGTGGTTTTGAAACATTGACCTTGTGGTTAGTAGTTCAATGCTTACCTAACAGTGCCACCAGAGCCTCTTAACAATAATGTTGTTGTTGTTAAGTGCTGTGGAGTCAGTTTCGACTCATAGCCACCCTCCATAGGGATTTCAAAGAGCAGCTGGTGAGTTTGAGCCGCTGACCTTGTGCTTTGCAGTCCTGTGCTTATCCTACAGCACCATACCAAGACTCTGACAATAATGTTAGTGGTAGGCTCCTAAGAAAAATAATGTTTTGTTAAGTGCTATTGAGTTGGTTCCAACTCATAGCAACCCTGTATAGGGTTTCCAAGGAACGACTCGTGAGTTTGAACCGTCATTCTTGCAGTTCAAACTGACCTTGTGGTCCAGTGCTTACATCCTACAGTGCCACACCAGGACTCCAATAATGTTGTTGTTAGGTGCCACCAGGTCAGTACAGATTCATAGAGACCCTATGGACAATAGAACAAAACACTGCCCAGTCCTGCACCAGTCACGCTAATCCCGCACAATGATACTAGTAGCTATTATTGGCCCATCTTGACTAATACTGCATTGGACTGAAAACAAAACAAAACAAAATGAAAAAAAACACCAAGCCCACCACCATCGAGTTAATTCCAACTCATAGTGACCCTGTCTAGGATTTCTGAGGCTGTCAATCTTCATGGGAGCAGACTGCCTCATTTTTCCCATGGGGCAGCTGGTAGATTTTAACTGCCCATCTTGTGGTTAGCAGTCTAGTGTTTATATTGAAAACCTAATCTCTATACCTGTGAATAAGGAGCTCTGGGAGCATACTGGTTACAAATTGGGCTGCTAACCTCAAGGTCAGCAGTTTGAAACTACCAGCTGTACCGCAGGAGAAAGATGAGGCTTTCTGCTCCCGTAAAGATTCACAGCTTTGGAAAACCTGTACAGGGTTGCTATGAGTCGGAGCTGACTCCACAGCACATTACCACCACCACCACCATACCTGTAAGTAGGACCTTGTTTAAAATACGGTTTTTCCTTATCAGTCACATTAAACAAAGTCAGACCTGAGTAAGTTACTGAGCCTAATCCTGGCTGAGTGATGTCTCATAGAAGGGGAGAGAGACGTGGAGGAAACATCACACATGGAGGAAGACAACACATGAGACTCCGTCCATATGCAGCCAAGGATACTAAGGCTAACTGGGTTGGCCAGCAGCTAGGAGAGAGACATGGGACCGTTCTCTCTTGAGTACTCAAGAGGAGTCCACCTCTAGCTTCCCAAACCATGAGAAGTGAATGTGGGTTAGGTGTTGGGCTGCAAACCGCAAGGTTGACGGTTCAAACCTACCAGCTACTCCTCGGGAGAAAGATGCAGTTGTCTGTTCCCATAAAGATGTACAGTGTCGAAACCTTTAAAAGCTGCTAAGAGTCAGAATGGATTTGATGGCAGTTGGTGGGCTTAGAAAGAGAAAGACGGTTGTAGGAGTTTGGAAGGGGAGTGATGAGGACACGAAATTGGGGGCAGCCTTTCCTGGGCTGAGAGTTGGAGGGGACTCCTGGAGGCCTGGAAGCGTGCTCCCAGGTGATGGTGCCCCTGTGTACATCTTAACTCAAACTGCACAGACTCACCAGGTCTTGGAAGGTATCGGACTCCTTTGAAGGAAGAATGCTGGCTAAGCTGTCAGCCCATAAAGAGAAATAAAAGCAGAGAGTAACTAAGAATGCTGCTACAAACAAAAGAAAACAAGCCCCTCCCTTTTCCCCAGGAGGACATTTATGTTGATGGTGTCCTGGAAGTCCAGGCCCCTACAGACTTGGGACACTAGGAGAAGGTCCATTGCTCCCAGGGAACTTATACCAGTGCTCCATTCCATAGAAGCAGCTCTCAGATAACCAGTCCTTCTCTTCCTGGAGGCTGATTAGAGCCTCAGCAGTGCCCAGTTTGTCCAGGGCTAGAGATTTACCCAGATACACACAGTGCATACCTACCAACTCTGTCCAGAGTAATTCATGTATGAGACTCAGAACGACCATGATGCTATGCATTGGACAGGGGGTCCATTAGACTGACCATGATGCTATGCATTGGACAGGGGGTCCATTAGACTGACCATGATGCTATG